TCGAAACTCTTTTTTCACTTTGTCTCATCTCCATTAAACTGCAGTCAAACCAGTAGATTGTTAATTCGTAACGCAGCATAAGGTTTCTTCTGACCGATGTTAAGCATTTTAGCCCATTAAGCTGAGAACTGTTGTATCTTATGGTTAATGCGTAGCGCTCCCAGTAGCTTGGGGTGATTGATGTTATCGAGATGTCCTCACACACTCCATAAAACAATGTACCTACTGTCTCCTCTGTGTGAATCCCTGTTGTCTCCTTCCAATTTTTTTGTTTTTTTTTTGCCTAATATTTTATAAGCTTTCATTGTTACTGTGACAAAGAATGTTTTAAATGGATCTGCTAGAATCTTGTCGTTCCAGGCAAGTCATTGCGGGATTGTCAGCAGATTTATTTGCGCCTAAAAGATCTTGTCTTTGATAGTTGGACGCGGCCATACAATACGAATTTGTTAGAACAGTTCATTCAAAGTGAAGTTGGCATGGACAGGACGCTTGAATCAATACCTTGGCCAAAGTAAGCAGTTTTTTTTTTTATTTTTTGGTGATTTCTTTTTGCCTGAATATGGCATTATTGGTGCGATTGCGATCAGTAACGAATGTCTGTTGATAGCCGATTGTTTGTAGGCTGATCCTGACAACCGTTCGAGCGGATTGCTTCCCGGTTCGTTTGGAATTGATGCGAAATTTTCGTTTGCCTTTATCAGACGAAGAAAACGATGCTCTCGGGTACACTGATCCTGCAGGTAATGCATTTCTCGAACAGCTCTGAATTTGCAAGCTGAGATTAGGAAGCTGTCTAATGCCAAAAAAAAAAAAACGCAGAAGCAACAACTTTTATTTTTGTAGATGTGTTATTGTGGAAAGCTTTACGACGAACCTCGGCAGCGCCAACATATTTTAGCTCTGTTGATAATAAGTACATTGATGGTGGTATTATTTCAAATAATCCTGCACTGGAATTGCTTTCTGAATTAGCTTTTTGGAATACAACCAAACACTTTTTGGTAAGTTTGCATGCACACTTTTAAAATTGCTCATTTTTGATAAACATAGCCCAAATTATACTTTGTATAATGTGAAGCAAAAAAAATATGTTCGAAAAGCCCGTCTGTTGAATCTTTGAAAGTACTCAGCGAATTCACATTATTACCAGAAAATAAAAATAAAAGAATTGTAATTTGTGTCAGGATACGTGGGAAGAGACATAGAAGTTCCTAGCAATCGTACTGATATTTTAGAACTTACATGTAGTGATTTCCCCGTGAAATAGCAGCAGCAGCAACTGGCGCAGGATATTTCCTTCCATATAATTTTTGTTGTAATTCAATTTTTCAGACAAATATGCAAGATAATTCGATAGAGCTGGGTTGTATGTTAAGCGTTGGTACGGGTGCAATCCCGACATCGCCATTATCAACATCAAATTTGGAAATTTCCTCAAATCCGTATTCCTCTGCTGTTGCAATAAAAAACCTTGGAGTCATACTTGTTGAGCAGGTAATGCCGCTGCAAAACCTTCAGTTAATTCGGTTTTGCAGGATCAGTCGAAAAGATTTCGATAATTTGACGATTTCAAATTGTTTCAGGTTACGGCTACCGAAGGAGCACCTGTGGAGCGTGCTCGTTCTTGGTGTCATAACTTGAATGTGCCGTTCTTCAGACTCTCTGCTCCTCTGCACAAAGACATTCCAATGGATACGCGTGACGATACGGATATAGCGCGAATGATGTGGGATTGTGTGGAATATTGCAGCGTAATGCGCACTGAAATGAGGAAGCTCCGTGAACTATTGAAAAAGGTTTTTTTTTTTTTTTGTAAGCGAGTATGAAAATGTGCGTGGTGATTGAAATAAGCAAGCCTCCGTTGAAAGTGTATAAAATTATTACAGTCATGACTGCTTGATTTATTCAGTCATAAGTTATTGGAGCTATTTTGGTGCTCAGATTCACAGTTCGTATTGTAAAGTAACTGTGAAAATAATTCACAAAACGAGGGTGATTTGGTGCATCTTTCTGCAGTTTTTCTCAGATTTTTTCATGCCAGAGGAAAAAGACACTAAAATGTTAGTAGATCGGGAAGCATGTGAGAATTAAAGAAAATTCGGTAATGGTGGAAGAGCAGGCGCTTAAACTCCAACGTTCGAAAAATCTTTTATGTCTTGTTGTTGTAGATTCTTTTTAACAATAAACTGTTGCTGCTGCTTACGCTCCGTGGTATTCTAGGAACGCAAGTTCTCTTCCTACTTTCCTTGAAGTTTTGGATGACCGCCAGCGAGTCGTTACTGTCGCTTAATCGGTTATGCGCGAATACTTTCACTCTCAATAAACTGAGCTGCACAAGCAATTTTGAATTTTTTTTTTTTTCACATAAAACAACGAATCAGACGAATTATTTATAAGCGACTGGTGAAAGGCGGGAAGATGGAGTTTTCAAAAATACGATCATTTTAGCTCGGGCCGGCGTGGCGACGGAGACATCTTTTTGAGACGAGGAAAAGTGGGAATGATGTGGAAACACAGACAATTGACAGCTCGGATATGCCTTGATTTATGCGCCTTCCAGTGGTTACATAATTCTGCCTTTTCACTTCATTTCGTTGGTAACCTCTTCGTGCACCTGTGTTGGTTATCTTGTATATGAGCTGTGCACAGACACCGGAAGAGCGCTTTTAATCCTCTTACATGAGCTTCGTTTTTTATTCAAGCATCCAACTCAGACTAATTTTTTCGGTTGTATTTGCTGTAAAAAAAGCGGCAATTTTCTTGCTAAATTCAAAGCACTGTTCTCTCAGCTGATACTGCTTGAATATTGAATTTTATGCAAAGTCAAAATTCCTCCGCCACACACACAGACGTAAGCGGAGGTTTAATAAGCTTTTCGAAACGCCAATGCTGATTTCTGGATGTTTGCAAAGTTAGGCGAAAAATAGTTTTTCTTTTTTTTTTTTTGTGCTTTATTGTATTTTCCGGTTTGCATCTACTGTTCGGTTCATTTTTTTTTCAATGCTTTTGTGAATTTAGCGTCTCAAACTAGTTTCCATTAATTACCTTCTTAGCCATAAGATTTCTCCATCATTGCTTTTATTCACTTATCACTTCGGTTTACTGGTTTATTCGGTTTTTATAGCTTTACTGATTATACCGGTTTTGATTTTTTGTTCCTCGTGCGAAAAGAAACAATTTTGTTATCACGAATTTCCGAGGAAATCTTTTTTCAATAATCGAACTATATTTCGATTACATTGACTTAGTTCTTTGCAGTTTTTAAGACTTGGTTTGTTTAGAGTTCAATTTTTTTATCAGAAACTTAAATGATTTTTCCAAGTTTTATTTGCGAATTCAACTTTTTTGAGAATATCACAAACGTGTCGGAAATGGGTTCAGCTTTAAGAAACTTTATGCGTCCAGTCCACTAGGAATGATTGAGGATACTTTTAAATGAATTTAGCCGGAGTTGTAAATTTGTAAAAATTGTTTAAACCAATTGCTTTTAATGGTAAGCTGTACCTCTGTTGACTTCTGTGGGTCTCTCTGCTAAATGTTTTCCTCAAAAATTATTTTAGCATTCCTGAAACAAACCTTGTCAAGTTTTAGAACAAGTCCACGTTTCACATTTTGTTTGGAACTTTCGCAAATACTGCCTAATCAAATAATTTCAGGGAGCGTGTTTTATGTGTGGGTGCCGCCTAGGTGATGGATGGATTCCTTTTTTTTTTTTTGAAAAGTGATTAAGATAATTTATAAGTGGCACATTGTATATGGTCCCCGCCACTAACGCTAATATTGGCGTTAGTGATTTTTGCTTGTCGTAGACATTGTCTCATCTAGTTTTAATTAGCTTTTTTATTTGCTTACTGATCAACTTATTGCATTCCGAGAGCTATTTTATGAGCTGGACTTTTGTATAAGTGCACTTCCTGCTTGTTTTTCCGAAGAAAAAATACTTTCTGTGAAATAATGCCTCATCGCTAGCTTTTCTGTCTGCGTCTTTTTATTAATACAATTTGTGCAGTAGGGCGTCAAAATCGTGCACTTCTGGTGGCTCTGGACCCTTTCATGAATTGCATTGCCGAACTCTCAAAAATTTTCGAAAAATTTTTGTTGCTGCGGATGCATGAGTGAATTCAGAATTCTCTCACTTCTTCGAATTACATGATGCTACGTGACATTTTTTTTTTCTGGAAATAGCTTATCCGTTCGTTCTTGCGTTTTCTCTTTTTGAAGATCTCAGCGTGTGACGGATGAGGAATTCGTGAGCGCACCAGATTCAGCGGCTTGTATTTTGATGTTTTATCATTCGAATGGCAGAAATCGAATGCTTTATGTTGTCGTTCTGCTGTTTTGCTCTTCTTTGTGAAATGTCGTTCACTGAGCTGTACAAGACAAGCAGTGATTTTAAATCAAATTCTTGAATTTTCAAAATATTTTCATCATTTCAAGATTTTATTTGTGAAAAACAGACATCCATTTCCGGCCACTGTATTTGTCTTTTAAAAGGGATTCTGATGCAATATTTCAAAAAAAAAAAAAAATATCCTCGAACTTTTGTACTTGTTTCGTGCGCTGCCCTTGACAGTGAGCATGTGTTCCCTCCAACTAGTTAATGTTGATGCCGATCGGGCTGATCTTTCATCTTGTCACATACTGGTCAGTGTTTATTTTATTTGTTATTTGCAATTTTTATAATAATATTCACGTGTTAAATTGACAACAACATCAGTGCGTGATTATCTTTTTCAGTAATTTAGGATCGCATTCGTTTTGAACAAACAAGTTGCTGATAATCTTCTTGTCCGTTAGCTGCTAGTTCCGTAAAACACAGAAAGGGACCTTCTCTTGAAAATGTGGCCAAGGAGGGGAGCAGTCAAGATTTTGATATGCAAATTTGAAAGATTTTTATAAATGGATTACGGGTCAGAACATTAAATGTAGTTTATTGGTAGCACCTGATACTCTTTTTATTTGATTCGGAAAAGTGCACCAGCTGGTTTGCGAAGTTGGAAAGGAATATTTTGACGTAGCACCGGAGGGATCATGCTTTTTGCAAAATTCACGGGCCTGTTGGTGGGCTGGAAAGGCTGATTATCGGTTTGCGATTAACTGGAAGCTGGCTTTGCTCGTGTGAACGGGGGCAGCGGTCACTAAAGTGCTCGAATGAAGATGTGTAAATATGTGAACACACTGTAAGCTGAGAGGAAGTAGCTGGAAACTCATTTCACGGGGAGCAACCAGTCTGTAAATATTGACACTGCAAGCTGAGGTAGCTTGACAGTCAACTGCTGTGAATTCACTCAAGCTGAACATTTGTTCTGGATATGGCCCAGGTCTGCTCTCACGGGAATTCGCGAAATATATTCCCCTTCGGCGCATGCGACTGGAAAAACGTGTCCTGTAGTGCGAATGTGACGGGGAAAAGACACAGATGTGCGGCTGCTTTTCATGTTGGTTTTTTCAAGTTCGTTTTGTGCCCCTCAAGGGTGGCGGCTCACGTTTATGCGGTTGGGAGAGTTCGGGAACCCACGTCATATTCGAAGGAGCTATTTTGGCTCACGAGTCTTCTGCTTGTTTCATGCGTTCATAAAAAGTTTCAAAAAATTACTGCTGCTGGAGTGCTTTTGTGTACTGGATCGAAACACTGCTGCAGAGAGAGTGTTACACTAGCGATGAGGTTATAAGTGCTACACGCCCTTCAAACGCAAGAGGTTTTTTCTTAGTCTCCTCCTCTTACGTACCCGTTTTTCGAATATTTTGAAAGTTCCTAGAAATTTGAGGCTTCTTAAGAAGAGTATTTGTTCCTCGATATTGGCTTTAGGGTTTATTTGACTCCTACGAAACTGAAAGCCAGAAATCAAAGAGGGGGTTTATTTCATATTCGAGGCATGTAAAAGTACTGACTCTGAAATTCAAGGCGAGACAACCAAAGTTCCCTTAATTTATTTGCCCGATGAAGGCGGGACTTTTTTTGTCAGTATATATATATATATATTTTTTTTTGATTTTGGAGTAGAGAAGATAAATCTTAAACGGGACAACGGGCGAATAAAGCTTGCCCAAATGTAACGGGGACATTTTTACGGGTAAAATTCAGAAAGACAATATTCGCTTCAGTGGAGCAAATAATTTGGCATGTACTGGCGCTGCGTGTGGTTTATTAATCATCATCATAAAAGCAAAAAGCAAACAAAAGCATTAACTGAGGTTAGCCTTCTTCGTATTTCCATTACCCCAACAGCTGCTTGTTTCCCTCATTACTGCCAGCATGGCTATAACACGCATTTACGTTCCGGTCCAGAGCCATGAGGCCTATCAATTTCCGGCGATCCGAAGAATAGCAGCTTGATTTTCGGTAGTGCGATTTTAATCTCAGTCTGGACCAGTGTTAGCATGTTAATTCTCCTGTCATGCATTTCACCGAGCAAAATTTGCTAATAGCTGTACGAATTCACACTTCAGAAATAGGTAAAATGCGTGGTCACTTTATGCATTTGCAGTAAAATTGGAGCCCAAATCCTAATGCTCGGCTGTCGCAGTAATGTGTAGGTTGTATCGTTTGCAATCAATGAAAGTGTGGGAGTCCAGGCACTAGGAAATCAAGCATGGATGTGCGTACTCGGACGTTGCAGCAGCAGTGGACCCCTTATTCAAATTGAAGCAAAATGTGAGTGTAGGATAGGGAGGAAGAAAAGGAGATGATTAAAAGAAAACCGAGTTGTCAAATCAGCAAACATCTCAGGCAAGCACTGCTGCTCTAAATTTGCTTCAAATTGGTTACAGATTGCCTGTAGCACTTTTTAGAAGTGAGTGTCGTGTTAAGCCGAACTCATTTCAC